TATATATACATATCTTGATGTGCGAAACAACTTGTTGAACAACACAAACAACAACTGTAAACATTTTTGATTAGCAACAAAAGGCGAATTGAGGAAATGGCAAAAAAGTACAGGAATACAAAAACAGAAGCAAAGAATGAAAAACAAAACAAAGAACATGCCAAGCGTTTGTAGCAGGTAATAAATTATTGGAACTGGAAACTTTTTAATTTAAAAGTTGKTGTTGTTGTTTGTGTGGTTGTTGTTGTTGCCGTTGCTGTCGGTTGTTAGCCAAACAAGCCAAAGAAGAGTTAAGGCAAGCGCCGCTATGAATACCCTATAGAAAGTTATGCGAGAAGCAAATATCTACTATCTATCGAATAAAATTCAAGATTAATTGCGATTCCAATCAATTACAATCAGTTAATTATGAAATTATTACAATTCTTGTTGGCAATTAACAGTTGTGATTAATTTTGTTCCGGATTCAGAAACTGCCGACTTCATAATCCGATTTTCAATAGATATGGATATGGATATACATACATATATGGAAAGTAGATAGATAGATAGACAATCAATACATATCTAAAGATTTTTGGAGATTTATAGCATATTTTATTGAACGGGAAATCAGAAATTTTGCCTTTGACAAGGTCATTGATAGTTCGAATTCATTCAACGAGCTATTCAATCTAACAATCAGTTAATCTATCAATCATCTATCAATCAAATTTCTTCTATGGAGATAGCTGAAACTTTCTAGGATATACATATCTGTTAAATATACTCAATGTATCTCCTCATTTCTTAAAAGTATTTCACAGCACCCAAATACCCTCTGAAATTAGAGCACTTGGTGAGGGGGTTTTGCTGGACTTGGAATTGGAAAAAGTGAACAGCGAGAATGCGCGAAGAAATGCTTGAGATTTGTTTAATTACATCCGGCATAGTCACAGCTACACACACAGGTACACACACAGGTACACACACAGAGATACACAGGTGTACACCCACACAAAATGCCGTAGAAAAAAGGAGGAAAAACTACGAACTGTGGGTGGTTCGGGCTCTACAGTTAGTGGATCGGGTGGGTTGGGGTGTGCCATGCACTTTGGGGGTTGCTGTGGTGGGTGTACTTACGATATCCATTGGTATATGCCAGACACCGTCAGCTCACCCTTGTCCTCGAGGGCGTATTCGATGAGTTCCGTGTATGTAAACGGTGGTTTCTTCGGCCTGCTTGTTTTGCGGTGGTTGGTGGTGCGGTGGGCGCCCACATCGATTGGCGAGTGCAAAGATGAGAGAGAGCGAGAAAGAAAGACAGAGTGGAGTGAGTGAGAAAACACGTCAAATAAATATTTATTAAAATGGAGTTGCGTTTGGTTAAAGAGGATTTTTGTTGAAAATGTTTCGAGTATTGGCTGAAAAACTGAGAGCAAAGATAGATAAATATATATCTGAGGAAATATAATATATCTATATAAAGTTGCTTAAATTCGTAGTAAAGGAAATCACAGAGTTCTGTTTCAGATATTTGTTAGAGATTTCACAATTGCTAGAGCTTGCCATACGAATTAATTCCTATATAGATCAATCTGTAGAGCAGATCAAAGATCAGAGAACTTTGTTTAAGAGCTGTGGAAGTTGATGCATGATAAGCCGAATATTTGTTATCTTTTGTTGATTATAGATGACAATAAAGAGAGAGAGAGACGTATTGAGTCTTAAGGAAATATCCTGAGGGAGCTTTTACTCACATTATCTCCATCGTCCCATTTACCTAAGATCCCTCTTCAGCAGCAGTTGACCGCTGGCTACAGATAGGAGTAGACTCTTGCTCCTAAGCTGCTATTGCCCAATATATTATTAATCTCACTTTCTCTATAGCAAAGATAGCAAAATTTGTTATCAACATGAATTTATCCAGATTTCCCAAGGACAGCTGATCATGTTAGCTGCTCCGTCTTCCTAGCTGACCCAGGCAAGCTTTTTGCATCGGGCTTGGTCTTGTTTTCTATTTGCAGATGATCTTTGTTTTGCTGTAGAGTAACGACCATTCGGCTTTTAGGCAAGGCTCTTATAGAGAAGCTATGTGGGGTACCTTCTTAAGATTTTCTCTTCTGTGACTAGGTCTTCCTACTTATCTGAGCTCTGTCTTCCTGTACAATAAATATATTCAATACCAGCTTCACTTTTGTGTCCTTCTATCTTCCTTATTATAAGGACCAGGCATTAAATTCTACCTCCTTGGCTTAGACCCATCTCTTATTAACATCTACATCTCTCTACTGCTTGGTCTAAACCCATCTGTTATGAACATATATAGAGGGATCTCTTTACTACTTTGGCTAGACCCATCTCATATTAACATCTACCTATAGAGGGATCTCTTTACTGCTTAGCTTAGACTAATCTCTGTGCTCTCACAATTTCTGCGTTTGTCTTAGTTCTCGCTCATATTGGATTGCTCTTCCGAACAGGAGATGCCTCTCTGAGATCCCTCCCTTGACCGTTTGCTACTTACGCTTTGGATGCTGTATCCTCGACCACAACGTGCTCGGCGACAATCATATCGTTGCCGTCCATCTCGGAGGTGACTTCCATGACCAGTTCCTCGAATTTGCGTCCGGCTTTGGTTGGCGTCGCTGTTGCTGCTGCTGCAGCTGCTCCCGTGGCTCCTCCTCCAGCTGCTGCTGTCGTTGTGGCTGCTGCTGCTGCTGCCGTGGAGGAGGAGTTGGAGCAGCTCTTGGGCGAGCCGCGGGGCTCTAGCTGGGAGGAGTGACTGTGACTGGAGTTCGATGCGGAGGCCGGCGAGGCCGAGCTGCAGGGCGATGCGCTGGTCATGTGGGCGGCTGTCGCCGCTGTAGGCGTGGCGGCCTCCAGGCCAACGCCCAGCCGTGCCATGCCGCCGCCCACGTCGGGCGAGAGGTGCGGAAACTCGTCGAACTTGAAGTTGAGCAGCCACGAGAGATTCTTGTCCTCGAAGTCCGGCTCTGGCGAGGAGCGAGCTGGGCAGGTCAATGAACGGGACTGCGACTGTGCTGTGGGCTGTGACTGTGACTGTGACTGGGGCTGCTGCTGCTGCTGCTGCTGCGGCGGCTGCTTCTGTGCGATGGGGACCAGAAAGCCGCTGCCAGTGGCCGCCAGCTGGAGCTGCTGCTCCGCCTGCGCGTCCAGCTGGCTGTCCGGCTGATTCTGCATGGGCGGCAGCGTCGCGTTCAGCTGCGAGATCTCCGTCTGCAGTCCCGTCGTGTAGCGGTGATCCAGCTCGAGCAGCTCGCCCGCCTGCCAGCCTCCGGCGTCCGCCTCCAGGGGCGCCGCGGGCGGCGCGCAGTAGGAGGCGGCGGGCACCAGCAGCTGATTGTCGTAGGCGAACAAGTCGTTGATGAAGGCCGCGCCGGCCGTGCCGCTGGCGCTCGTGTCCAGCTGCAGCTGAAAGCACAGATCGCCGGCTGTCCCCACTCCCACACCCACGCCGACTCCCACTCCAGGAGCGACGCCGACTCCGTTCACATCGTAGTCCAGGTGGCGCTTCTTCCAGGGATTCGCGCTGAGCTGCTCGTAGGGCTCCTCCAGTTGGGTCTCGTATTTGCGCTTGAGGAAGTTGAATTCGCAGTTCGAGGGCAGCGAGTTGTTGTTGTTGTTGTTGTGATGGCTGGAAGTGTGACTGGAATGCTCAGTGGAATGCGGCTGGGCGGCTGAGCTGTTGTTGGGCCCATTGACGGGCATATTGACAATCATTTTCCTCTGCTTTCTGCCTACTTCTTCTTCTTCTTGTTCTTGTTCACTTTTCACACGAATTCGCACGTCAATTTTTCACAGAGCACACAAAAAAAAAGAAGCACTAGCAGCGAGAGGGAACGAAGGAGAGACAGCGAGAGAGACAGACAGCGGGAGAGACAGAGGCAGAGAGAGAGAGAGAGAGAGTGCTTGGAGTTTTTCGGTTGAGGCCAAAGGAAACTTTTGCGCGTTTGGTTTCCGTCTCGCGCTGCGACTGGCCACGGAATGCGGCTGATGGATTTGACGGAAGCAACATTTGGCCAGGAGCTGCGCGCTGCCAGGATGGGCAGCGACTGCGGCAGCGCTATCTCTATCTCTCTCCACCACTCTCGCTCTCTCGCTCGCACTCGCATTACACTCGCGCATTCAGTCAAGCACAACAACTATCGATGAACCCCCTAGCCAACCAAAACCCTAGCTCTAGCCCGAACCCGAACCCAAACACGAGCCTACGACCTTTTAACGGTACTCAAAAGCGTGCTCTTTCGCATACCCTGTAAGCTGTGCCCAACGGGGTCTCTTGCTTATGAAAGACAGTTGCCTCTATGTATGTTTCCATCAGCTGTATTCAATATACTCCTCAACAGGGCCAAATGGGGTATATTCAGCATGTGCATATACCCTGCTTTCTTTTCGTCAAGCCTATATTTCCGATGCTAATTTCTAGAGAGTACCCTACTTATGAAATCTAATGGGAGATATGATATACTAATAATCAAAGGGAGCATACTCATTTAGATTTTAAGTTTTCACAAGTATACCCTGTAAATTGTGATATATTCACCAAGTTGTCAGCCCACGATCGTTTCTTATTGGAGCATGTTAGCTAGCCCAGCCATTATTTGTTACAGGTGTTCTTCTAGGCTGGACGCTTCATCCATGGAATGCATATACTCCATTTGCCTAGAATTTGCATCTCTTGATTGTCATTTTCTTGGCTGAAGTCGAGGGGTTGCTGAATTGTTCAGCTGTTTTTGCAGCATGTGATGGCAGGGTATTTACTAGTCGCGCATTCCCCACAAATAAAGTGCACTAACTTCGTGCTCGCTTCTCTTGGTTCTGCTCGGTCGCGTTTTGCCCATAATCGAACATGTGCCATGAGCTTATGTAGATGTGTGTATGTCTATATGTATGTATGTATATACATATATGCATATACATATGTATATGTATATGTATATTCCAAAGGCAATTTTGAGGACTTGTCGACGTGACGCAGAGGAGAGGGCGTTCATTGAAGCGCCTAATCGAACACCCTGTGGCAGACAGCCTGTCGAGCTGCCTCGCGCACAGGTGTTGCGCAGTTGCCAACAGAGCGAAAGAGAGAGCGCGGAGAGAGAGAGAGAGAGAGAGAGAGAGAGAGAGGGAGAGAGAAATAAAGATAGGAAAAGAATTTATCTCTAATGAGAGATAGAGAGAAGAAGATAGAGAAAGAGGGGAGAGAGAGCTGCCCAAGAGATCTGGCGTCGTAAAGCAAATCCAATATTACTTTAGAATTTTAGTGGAACGAAAACTAGATCAAAAATAAGCACATCTAAAGGATGTAGGGAAACAACTCCATTCATCCTTTACTGAGCCTGATTAATTATCGGTACATGATTTATATGTGCTATAATACTTTTAGTATTTAATCTCTACTCTTTTAAAAATATGCTTCAATTTTTATCTAGTATACGTTTTTTTTTTTAAATCTAAAATGTTAAGTTTTCTCTCTCTCTCTCTCTCTCTCTCTCTCTCTCT